ATCCAGAACCTACAAAGAACTCAAACAAATTTACAAGAAAAAAACAAACAACCCCATCAAAAAGTGGGCAAAGGATATGAACAGACATTTCTCAAAAGAATTCTCTCTCTTTCTAAAACCTATGGACTTGAAGTCAGGATGTTTTCAGAAGTCCAACTGGTGTTAAAAATCCAAATAGATCAAACATTGTTTCTTTTTGTATCTGTGTGACAACTAATACCGAGGTGTGTAATTACAGTGTGGAGAAACCCACATAATTTCTACTGGGAAGTAGTCATTGCCAATAAGCAATAGAAGCCCTAACCAGTGGTTCTTATTTTGCAATTAGAATTTTTCATCTTAATTTTAGTAAATGTGCAGCCAAAGCAAGCACCACCTTTTCATCTTAAGCAAAGGCTAAGTTTGTGTGTAATATAGATGAAGGCTATTACCAGATAAACACCAGCAAAAAGTTATTTTATTGGTGTCTTTCTGTTGTGATTTTTTTTTAGTACCGTTCTTTCTTTCCTATTCCCTCCTTTTCCACAAATATATGTTGAGTATCAATTCTATGATGCTTGAGGCATTAGGCACTCCAATAAGTAATCCTTTAAGTCTCACCAGAATTTGAGTTTGATGATATGGTGTCCATTGTGTAGATGAGGATACATCCTCCGTGAAGTGCGAGATCACATAACCAAATGTAGAAAAATAGGTCTGTCTCTTGCTGAAAGGATCTTAACATTGAATGCTGCTGCATGAAGCCCAGGGCTTCAGTGGAGAACCTCAGAAACCAGATAACTCAGCTGGCCACTTGCGGTGGCACACGCCTGTAATCCCAGCACTTTGAGAGGCCGAGGCTGGTGGATCACGAGGTCAGGAGTTCAAGACCAGCCTGGTCAATATGGTGAAACTCCGTCTCCAATAAAAATACAAAAATTAGCCAGGTGTGGTGGCACGTGCCTGTAGTCCCAGCTGCTTGGGAGACTGAGGCAGAAGAATCACTTGAACCTGGGAGATGGAGGTCACAATGAGCTGAGATCATGCCACTGCACTCCAGCCTGGGCAAAAGAGTGAGACTCCGTCTCAAAAAAAAAAAAAAATAAAAGAAAGAAACCAGATAACTCTGAGCCATGAGGCATTACATTGGCCTCTCAGAAGTCTGAATAAATAAGTATGGGGATTTCTCTTATTTTGAAGGCATTAATGACTCATTTCTCTAGGATATTGAAGTGAGTTCTCCAGTGGAAGACAACTGGAAAATGAGTGTCCTTGTCTACATATATAAGATCTTAATAAAAGTAATTATAAAATTGACCTTGGTGGGAAGACACTGAAACAGGATTACATAGTCCGAGTAAAGTCCTTACAATAGAGAAAAAAGTATGTACAAAGACACAAGAAAGACACAGAGGTAAGAAAAGGACTATTGACTGGAGTCGGGAATGCAGGAGTGTGTGTGTGTGTGTGCGCGCACGCGCATGTGTGTGTGAGTGTTTATAAACCTAGATAAGTTTAGATGAGCCTGGAGAATTAACAAGCCGTGCTTGTATTTTACGAAAATGCACTCCAGAAGAGACACGGGTTGGAAATTGTTCCAGAAAGAATAAGACATAATGGTGATATGAACCATGAACCTAAGTTTGTGATGATGAATTGGAAGAGAAATTCTAGGCCTTGCCTTAGAAAACAACATAAAAATCTTAGTTCTTCAGGAACACAATGCCCACAGACAAACTTCACCAGAAACAGAATTTGCACATAGGCAGATGTATATATCACTGCTCACTTAGATGAAATATATGCATATGCTTCCATTTACAGACGGCCTCTTTCATCACTGAAAGAAAAAGTGCACTTCAGATCTACACTACAAATATATTTAGATACAAATTTACCTCCACCAGACAATGTTACATGTTATTTTTGAAAGGTAAATAAGTTACTTGATTTATTATTTTAAACTTATGAGTGTATTTTTAATTGCTATTCATGAAATGAAAATTATTTGAACTTGAACAGATATGTAAGGATATTTGATGTTGCTTAGTAGCATTTCTCAAACAGATCCTATTTTGCACATGAGATTTGCTAGGGAGTTGAAGCTACCTCCTATTCCGTACCTGTTTATATGATTTGGTAATAGTCTTTTGTTGTGAAGGTTTATGAACATGGTGAAATACATACATTCTATTGAGAGATATGATAAAATGGCATAACTCAAGTTTCAACTATGATTTTGATAAGTAGTTTTCAAACTTGTTTTGGGGATTTTATGGAATCCCAAAGGGAAAGATAACAATTTTACTATTAAAAAGTGTTAACGTTATTTTGCCTATAGACTCTAATTATTGGTTAGCAAAATAATTGTTATAATTATTTCATTCAATTTTAATATAATAAGAGTTATATAATTCTTCTTTTACTCAGCATTTTTTTTTTCTTTTTTCTTTTTGAGACAGGGTCTTGCTCTGTCGCCCAGACTGGAGTGCAGTGGCAGGATTACAGCTTACTGCAGTCTCCACCTCCTGGGCTGAAGCCATCCTCCCACCTCAGCCCCCCCAGGTAGCTGGGACTACAAAGTGCATGCCACCACACCTGGCTAATTTTTGGATTTTTTATAGAGACTAGGTTTCACCATGTTTCCCAGGCTGGTCTTGAACTCCTGGGCTCAAGCAATCCACCCACCTGGGCCTCCCAAAGCGGAGAGAGTTACAGGCATGAGCAAATGTGCCTGACCCTATTTCTCTGTTAAAGAATAATTCTAATAATAATAATTTCGGGTTTATGTATTTTTACAAATAATTGACATGATGATGTAATATTCACAATGCTTCAACAATGTGAAAAAGTATATACGAATATTAATCACATAATTGATAAAATATGTGAAATAATGAAGCCAAAGCAGGTCATTAAGAAATATTTATAAACATTATGTATTGAAGTTACAGATGTTGCCAAAGTTGTACATCCACGGGGCCAGTCATCATAAATTCTGATTGATGTTTAAAATGAGAGCAAGAAATACCCAATTAAGTAGTAAATTGAAAACCACCTAATCTTCTTCCGATGCTTCTGCGATTTCTTTGTACTTGTAAAATCGTATTGCACGTTGAATGGGAGTCTTAACAGAGTCATAAGTCCATCCCTTCCTGGCAAACAGTCTTTCAAGGATGCCAGGCATTTCGTAGCCCTTGCTTAGAATGAAATCCTTAAAGGCAATTGGTCCATAAAGTTCGTCAAGAACGTCAGGTTCATCAGGCTTTTCAAGCAAGAGCTTGGGGTCAATCAAAGGTTCATCACTTCTTAGCTTTTTCCACAACTTAGGCTTGAGGTACCATGCTCCATACTTCATCTTCACACGCTGTGCGGTATAAGAATTCGATGGCGTGTGGAGTTTCCTGCCCCAGTATTTTTCCTGTGAGAAGAATTTGTCTTCATCCTTTTCATCTAGCTCCATGCTGTACTTCAGCTCTGAGGAACACTCTTTTACCTTCTTAAGCTTTTGGTCGTAATAGGTTGTTCTGTACTTGGGGGTAAAGTCAAACAGATTCCTGATGGATTCTTCATCAGCTCCCAGGTCTGCAGCCCACTTGAAGAATTCACGGAGTTTTTCTGATGTGTATCTATATTGAAGAGAGTCAGAAACGCACTCTGTTGTGCTTGGTGTATCTTCGTGAAACAGTTCTTTTATGTAGGACGCTCGAATCTTGGGAGGCTCCGAGAACTGATGGGACACTGGAGCTTTGGGAGGCTCCGCGCGGAGACTGGACACCCGACGAGTCTTGGGAAGCTCCGGGTGGAGACTGGACACCCGATGAGTCTTGGGAGGCTCCGGGCGGAGACTGGACACCCTACGAGTCTTGGGAGGCTCTGGACGGAGACTGGACCTCCGACGAGTCTTGGGAGGCTCTGGACGGAGACTGGACCTCCGACGAGTCTTGGGAGG